GGTTTATTATTAGGAAACATTTTAATTCGTTTACGTGGAATGACAGACTCAACACAATAATTTATATAACAGGTGACTTTGTCAGAAATACTGTCCAAATCATCATCGTCCAAAAACACTGACCAGTCTGTACACTCAAAACATCCTTTTAACCTTTCACAGGCATCATCTGACCACACGCACACAGTCTTATAGCCAATAGGCTGATTTCGGATCGCAGGAGAGTATCTGGATGTCAGAGATATTAGATTATGATCAGATTGCCCCAGGGGTGGAAGACCCTTTGCACTATAACTCTCCTTAATATTTGTATAGAATAGGTCAATAATTTTACCATTCCTGGTTGGACATGTCACCATTTGCTTAAAAGTGGGTAAAGTAGCAGAGAGTGTACTGTGGTTAAAATCCCCATTTACTAAAACCAATGCATCCGGTGAAGCACGTTGCATATCATGGGTCACTCTCGAAATTGTTTCCGTGGCCAGCCTTCCATTTCCCGATGGAGGAATGTAGACCACTTGTACTATAACATGAGAAAGTTCTCTGGGCAGATAATAAGGTCGGCAACTTACCGCAAGCAGTTCAATGTTCTGGTCACAAATTTTCTCTTTCACCGTAGCGTGGCTAGGATGACACCACTGATCGTTCACATAGAGGCAAACACCTCCTCCTAGTTTTTTGCCAGTCCTCTCTGAGTCTCTATCCAGTCTGTGAAGTGAAAATCCTTCCATTTTAACATGTGACTCTGGTATCTTCTTGGACAACCAAGTCTCCGTAAAACACAGTAGGCTGCTCTGTCGAAAAAGGCGATCATAGCGCACAAGAGCAGACAGTTCATCCACTTTATTTACCAGAGAACGGACATTCCCCATAATCACTGCGGGTAACACTGGTTTATATCTTCGCCGACTGTTCCCAACTCGAACTCCTCCTCTGCGGCCTCTCTTCCTGGTCTTTAATGTGATTTCCGACAAATCGACATCAGGAACAAATCCCCCTGAAGCTGAGACCCGCAACCCCAAGAGCTCCAGCCGGCTATAGGTGATGAGGGACAGTCCTGGCCTGGGTTCACCATCCTGCAGGCCCAGTGTTTGAGTAACTCTCCATACCACTATTCCACATAGCCAGAGAAGGCAAAACAACTTGCGAATATTAAATATCACCATATTAACGTCGTCCGAATTCAGTCCAATAATTTACAAGTTAAAAAAGTTCTTTAAAAATGATAAATAATGATAAATGATAAATAATAAAAACACATAAAGCACGATTCACAAACACTCTGCACACAAACACTCTGCACACAGGTGGCCGAGTCGCCAGCAAGGGGGCGGCGCCAAGAAAGATTTAAATTCACTATAAAGTCTAAGATTGTTGTCTAGCGCTTTATTATATATGATATTGTGTTGTATTATATTATGTTATTTAGGTATTTAGTTATATTTGTCTTTAAAACTAATTTAAGCATTTAAACATATGCCATTATATCAAATGTTTTTTTTAAATCATAAATTCAGTCAAGTGTATCCAACCTTGTTTATTGCATTTTTTTCAAATACTTTTTTGCTTTCAATACTTTAAATGTATTTGTTTGTTTGCATTTATACTGCTTACACATGCAGTGCTACTTAAATCAAGTTATATACCGTGATGCATTGTGATGTATTGAGTTGTGACATCTCGATGTGTATCATATTGTGAGATTTGTGATACCCTAGCTTAACAGAGAGAATCAGGAGGCTATCGAATGTGAATCTGGTGTGTGTGTCCAAGTTTATTTTGAGTTGTAGGAGTTTGTGCTGGTTGGTGTCCTGTGATGCTGGGCTCTCAGGTCCATTTCAGACGAGTGCCAGGACTCACTGCCATCTGTTCACACATCTCCTACCACTCTCAGTTCCTTGCTGAAACTCAGACTCTTGCTTAAACTCTCATTTAGAGCACATTAGTGTAGAATATCACATTTGAACATTTGTTTATATGGCTGTTTTCCCTCATCAGGTTTATTTAAAGTCACTTATGCATAAGGTTGATTCAGAGCAGCTTGATATACAGCACTGGCTCTTTCCATTATGCCACTGTAATCATCTGTTCTGTTTGTGATGTGTGCAGCCATGGGGTTGTGATCTTCATCTTCTCTCCACTCCTCTTTCTGTCTTCTACCTTTCATATCTTTTACTAATTCTTGCATCATATTCTATTCTTGATTTATTTTTTCCTGCTACTTTTCGTCTCGTCTCATCCCATCTTGCCTCTTCTTGTCTATTATTTTGTCTTCTCCTCTTGTCTGTTTCTACATCTCTTCTAGTTTTGTCTCATCTTATCTCTCCTTTCCTTTCTTGTGTTTTCTCTCCTCTCAAGAGTCATGTTCTGGTGGACAGGTGGATTTGCCATGTTTGGAAACCCTGCACACATTACAGCTGATGTAGGCACAATGCTAGTGTATCTTCATCTCAGATAAGCAACTGTATAACATTAGCGAACAATCTACGATTCTCTCTTTCTGCCGCTGCTATTGTGAGGTGATGGACAATATTGTGCTGTTTTCGCGAGGTGATGGGTGTTGCGTCTGGACTCTGATCTGATGCTTGTCATACACACCGAAGCACTGAGATGAGGGAAAAATCAATATTTTGAGACAACATAGCGAGAGCTGTTGACCTGACCTGAGGGAGAGATGAAGAATGAGAGACAAGAGCAATGAAAATGACTGAGTACAAGGATGAAGCACCACACTAGAAACAACATACAGAGAAGAAAAAGCCACAGCTTTGATGGATGAGTCACACACCGTCCCCGCAGGTGTTGTTGTTGAAGCTCCATGAATATTTAGACATATTAGCAGATGAACACAAGAGCAATACGCCTAACAGCCTAACACACAGACTAATTTAGCTGTATTGATCCCTCAATCATCTGTCCGCCTGCCTGGACTGATTCTGCTTGTTGCAAGCCAGAAAATTGGTGGAATATGGGTGGTAGAATGTAAGATGCAATGCATTATAGTCTGTCATGATGCCATTAATACAGATTATCAGCAGTAAGAGACATACCTTGATTATACAGTATTTGTGCAGATATACACAGGCCCAGATGCATTTTCTGCTTTGATTTAGGAAGGAAATTCTGTCAATTAGATTTAAAAATATGATATCAGTACTATTCATTTTGTTAGTATCTGAAAAAAAGATCAAATTAGCCATCATTTTTAATGAACATTCATGAGCCATTTCAATTCTGCAGAGCTGAGCTCTCAGCACTGTGCTGAGTTTTGCAGCCACAGATTCTGTGGGTCTGTGTTTAAGGAAGTTTAGCTTGTACATTTTGGCTTGTATAAAAGCATTATGTGACAATAGTGCTACTACATTGCCTGTTTGTGCATAAAGAGCTTGTACGTCTTTTATTAAAGCTCATCGTCATCTGTGGAGTCATCTTAATGGGTGCCACTTGTCTGAACTGACAGTTGTCATTACACAGTGATGTTCGAATTAAGTATTTTGTTTGTGAAACTTAAAACTAATATAATTTATGATTGGTTGTGTGAATTACATCAGTAGTTATTAAAATAATAATCAAGTAATAATGTAGTTTCCAAAAATGTTTTTAGTATGCTATTGAAGGCTATCCAGAATATGAAATCAAATGGAGAAGCGTTAGAGGGGGGAAAAAATCATCATGACAAAAGCTGCATTGTTTTTATTGAAGACAAAAACAAAACAATACTGAGCAGATAAGTATTTATTAATTTAGTCATTGGTAGTTTTCATGCTGTCATTTTTTCATATTTCGCTCATTACCTGTTTTGAGAACCTACGTAGAAGCTCCACAAGCATCTGCAGTGTTTTGCTCTGACTGAGGAACAGCTAGTGTCACCATGGCAGCAGGCAAGGCTAGCGGAAAATACGCCCATACGCATGTAATGAGGCGACACAGCACCATCTTCACTTTTGCATATGCACATGTGCTTTCCTGTTTGTTAGTGTGTGGCTTCTGCATTACACACTCGAGACCCTCTAGCACACCATCTGGAAGCCTCTAGAAGGGCCACCAATAAGCCTACTCAGATGTGACTCATGACTGGCATTAAATCAGTGTAAATACCGCACACATTTAACCCTGTTACACGGCACTAATGCAGCTGGGAGAGGAGGGGCCTTCACAGATCTGTGAAAAGCGCTTCACGTCTATGATTTCATCAGGGCGTTTCATGCCACATGTCCTTTAACGTCGTCCTTAGTGGGGTAGCGTGATCCGTGTGTGTGCACACAAGCTGTGCCACCAAAGCCCATCATAAAACAAGCCCTTTGTTTGACACTTTGTTCTGTTGCAAACGTTTATTACTGGAATCACTATTTGTCTACAACAATTAAGCCCAAAATATACTTCGGCCGTCGCTTTTCGTGACAGTCCGTGCACGGTCCATGTGACAATTTTGCAGCCCAATTTTTCTGTTCGCATGGATGACGCGCGTACAACAGCACATGTGCGAGTAACTTGAGTGCTTGCAAACAAAGTCCACTAGATCGAACACAGAGTCGAACTCTTCTTTCCACGCTCGTAGCCAAAGAAGTATACTTTGAAAGAATTGCACACTCAACTGTGCGTAAGACGGAGCGGAATGCGGAAAATGAAGTATACCCGGCCCTTTAAGTATTAAACTTTTGCTAACTTGTCTTGCAGAATTTATGCTACAAAATTAATGCTACAATGCTTTGAATTTTTTTTTGTTAAAATTACTTGCTGTCTATTTACAGTTCTTTATTTTAAAATATGGAGCAGCGATGGTGAAATAGATTGTTTGCGAGTCGTATAATTGAGCTTTTTCTGAAAAAAAAAAAAAAAAAAAAAAAAAAAACCCACCTAGATCCTTCTAGCAAAAAGATAACAATTGTGGTGCCGTGTTTTGCACCTTTCAGAAGATGTTAAAATCTAGTTATGATTTTGCTGTAATTTGCATTAAGTGAAGTTTCTTTGGCTAACCCGAACCTTCTCTTGTTCCACAGGTGATCTCTGCGCTGTCCAGAATATCCCACAACAGCATTGGACAGATCAAAGGCATCAGGTAATTCATTTCCTCCACATGCTGATTGTGTTTCCTTTCAGTAGTGGTGTGTCTCGAGTCTTAAGGATTATTTCACAGCGCTCTCTTGGGCTGCACCTTTTATGTGGCTCCATTCATTGGGCCTGCAGGTAGAAGCAGTTGGCACAGACCACCGCATATGTGCGAAACCTGTGGGCCAAAACCCATGAAGTGTGTGGTTGTCGCTCCCCTCAGGTGTTTTAGCGGGGTGGAACCTGCCTCCCTGCTTTATAGGCGACTGGGATCACTTCCCGTCTCATTATTTGGCCAGTCTGTTCGCCCTGCTTCGCAAATAAAGCCTTTTATCCGACGGGGTAATGAGCTGATGGAGCGAGCCATTAGGCGTTTTGCCAGAGCGGGGCGGAGCCGATCAAGGTCTACCATTAGTCAGTAAAGCGTAACAGACTGAGGGGTACCTAAATCACTTCCGGTCTTCACCAGGCACGCTGCCCCACAGGGATGGCCAAAATACTGCCCATTGATTTGTCAAAAGTCTGGACTGAATCTTTTGTACTGGAAAAATGTAATGATTCTCCATTGTAAAAGTTTGAAGTAATTAGAGGAAAGATTTTAAGACGGATTGTGGCGGCAGATGAATCTACTGTGACTAATGCAAGTCAAATTTGCACCCTGAGCAAGTCTTTTACACTTGACGTTTTAAGTGCGCTGGATTTTGGGAGTTATAGTCGCATAATTTCCTGGCTGTATACAGCAAGCAATGAAAGGCAGCTTTGTTTTCATCGATACCACGACGTGTGTCACAGCTTTGAGGGCGGAAACAGCATGTGCTTTAGTTGTTAGGCCGACGGTAACCCACATTTCTTGAAAAAGACCTTTATTTTAGTCTGTTTTACAGTTTTGTGCCGTAGAATTAAGGCTGAATAAAATTAGCTGTCTGTTTTATTTCCCCTTCAAGCATCTCAAAAAGCAAGAAATGTCTCTGTCTTGCTTGGAACATTCCTCGTACACCCTTTTGGATTTGGTTTAAAGCTGCATGCAGATGTTTTTCCCGACAGGGCTTGAAATTCAGCCACATTCTCGCAAGCAAAATACTAATCAATATTCAAAAGACAGGGTTTCTCTTAGCACAGTTTGGTTGCATTGTTTTTGGGGTGTACTAGAATGTTTTCATGCTTTATTGAATTTATTTATATTTATAAAAAATGCATTATTTTTCACATATATTACATTATTACTGCTTCTCTCTCCCCAATCTGGTTGAAATGTATAATTTTCGATGAAGCCCCTCCTTCCGAAATACGAAATGTGCTGTGATTGGTTAGCCTGCCCAGTGTTTTGTGCAACTCTTAGCGCTTGTTTGGGAAATGTCCCACCCCTCCATAACCACAAGTTCTTCTCTAGTGTAAATATAAATAAGGATGGTGTCAATTTTAAACCAATTCGAGCCCGATTCAGACCCTGACAAATGACAATGTTAACGAACAAGAGGATCGTGCTGAACAGATTTTAAGCACGGATTTCACAGGACGTTTCAGAGTGGTATGTTTTTTGTATTTTTCTTATAGATATGTTATCCAGCATTTAATCATATTTGTTGGAGAACTATGATAATACAAACAGTAATCGATCACAAAATCATGGATACTTTTCCTAAGGGGTGGTGAACAGTCTTTCAAAAGCAAGAGCTTACAAAATCTAAAGAAAACTACATCAATACTATAATGTTAGTTAGCAGGCTAGCGGAGGCAAAGCTTTGCCCTTCGTTTACATCATAGCTTAGCAACTACATAAAACTTATAATTGGAACTCTTAATAGAAAATACAATTACAAATAACAAGACGTACAATTTGTGATGCATAAACAACAGATTGTCCTGACAAAGTGGGAACTGCTATGTCTTTCAGGAGAAGCTTTTGTGCGTATGGCCTGCATTGTACTCTCTTCTGTCTGCTGTTCTCCGTAAAATGTGCCATGCACAGACAAACGTTCAGGTTATAATGTTCAGGAACAGTGTTAAAAAATATTTTTAACCTCTTTAAGTTTGTCAGCCTTAGGACAAACTTTTTCTGGGGTGAAAAAAACAGCGACAACACTCTTCGTCTTCTCTAGGAAAGCGGGGATCTAGACCGGGATTATTTAAACAAGATCCAGCAAAAGTGCTTTGTTGTCCAAACGAGCCGTTCGTTGTAGTTCTTGGAAAGCAGATTCTGTTAACCCTCTGGGGACCAGAAACGCGCCGGCGCGTTTTGCTCGTTTTTTTTCACATAGCAGAAAAATAGACTTAAAGTACTACCATAATTTCTGTTCATATAGAGTTAAGAAATATGAGAAAATAATCTGTTAAATGTCTACTTTTTTATGTGCCCACATACAATCGAAATAAAATATTGTGCTTTTGTAAAATAAAGAAAATAAACAGGGTGTGCGTTCTGCCTCTCCGTCACGGTGAACTTTTTTTCTGGAGCACGTCTCTAATCTTCAACACAACTCAGCTAATACTAATCACCCAGCCATAAGCAATATATCTTTTAAATCATTTGAGTTTGTACTTTTAAATGATCCGATTCAAAACTAAAATAAATATTCTCCGTTTATGTCATCTATATAAAAAGAGAGACGTGTCAGCCGTTCTAATTATCTTTCTCTCAGCTCATTATCTCTGGTAATGTGTCACACGCCCACGGAGAGCACGCGCTATTCAAACGCAAATATGTGAAGCAACACATTGAGACGCGTTAACGCCCATAAACTCTGAAAACACACTATATTTTTAGTCAGATTAATCTACTGTCGTCTTGCGCGACTATATGAGGAACAATCCTGGGACATTTACCACAGAACAAGTGCTGGTTTATTTTCACTTCGAGGATGAGCAACAGATTCAGCTGAGAAGTAAGTGTTTTATGCAAGTGCTTTGTTCTAATTGCGATATAGAATAACGTTAGTGTCTGTAAACGGAAAAATAGCATACTGTTTAAATGTGAATCGTGTGTGTGTGTGTGTGTGTGTGTGTGTGTGTGTGTGTGTGTGTGTGTGTGTGTGTGTGTGTGTGTGTGTGTGTGTGTGTGTGTTTGTTTTTGTGATATATGAGGACACAAATGTGTATAATGACATGCATATTACACTGGTATTACAACTTACACGTGATATATGAGGACATTGCATGTGTCCTCATATTTCAAATAGCTTAAAAAACATAAAAAACAATGGGTTTTTTTTTATGTAAAAATGCAGCATGTCTCCTGTGATGGGTAGGTTTAGGGATAGGGGCAGTGTAGGGGGATAGAATATACAGTTTGTCCAGTATAAAAGTCATTACGCCTATGGAATGTCCTCATATATCACAAAAACAAAGCTGTGTGTGTGTGTGTGTGTGTGTGTGTGTGTGTGTGTGTGTGTGTGTGTGTGAATGAATTAATGAATGAATGAATGAACGCACAGATACGCACTGTTACAGACTAAATAAAAGACAACATTTCGACTAGTTTTGGAGAAAGTTTTTACTCTAAAATAGACATCAAATAAGCTTTTGTTAGGAGTTTCTGCTCATATGTTAAATATATAGTATGTTTTGTCAATAAACTAATCAACTAAGATGTTAAAGTGTTATGAATCAAATGAATAATGAATCCTCAACTTTGAAATATGTATGATCAAACTAAGACATTTACGGAAAAAGACTATTTTCTTTTCAAGATGTTTCCAACTCTAACTTTGAACTTTGAACTGAAATAAAACCATGTCTATATGGTGAAGGGTGTGTGATAGAAGTGTCCAGACATATGCACCATGTATTTTAAAGAAGAACATTTAATTATTTGTGATACATTATTCATTCACAAAGAATTCAAGGACATTATTCATGTCCCTAAAGGTTGGAGTTTTCCTCATTTTTTTAATTAAGGCATTAAGATTTTTTATTCCTCTTTTTAGTCAACTTTAGCATGGGTGTTTTCACTTATTCTAAGCAGTGTGTGTGTGTGTGTGTGTGTGTGTGTGTGTGTGTGTGTGTGTGTGTGTGTGTGTGTGTGTGTGTGTGTGTGTGTTGTAAATAAATCCAAACAATCTAAAAGCCATTCTTTTTTAAATCTCCTCATTCTTTGTGCAAGGCTCCTGATAATGATATGGCCTGATAGCACCTAATAGGGCCATTATGGGAGGGTCTTTGTCTTTCTCAGGTGTGGAATGCCACACATATTAATGAGAGATCACGCCTCCTCCCATAAAGCTTTCTCAAACAAAACACGTCATTAAAAATGTAAAAGACTTTATTGACTTATCTGAATGAGTAGTCAGGATGATTCTCACATAGTTTTGGAGCAAATATTCTAGACTATGTGATACAATTTTCAAAAGTCTTGTGAAGAAATAATCAATATGTGTTTTGTGGTCTTATTTCAGCAACTTTCATTTTAATTTTTTTTCAATAACAATGCATAAACATTATTCTCTTAAAAATACAAACATGTACATACATGTTGCTCACATATCATGGTAGCCCCTTTTGTGCTATATAGAGTGGATTTACACCGTTGCCATTAACATGTTTATAAATAACTGAAAAAAGCACAAATGTCAGTGCATGTCAAAACATCCCAAGGGCCCCAAAAACACCCTGGTCCCCAGAGGGTTAATAAAACGTCTCCCTTTGGAGTGGACTTGAGCTTTGTAACCTTGCAGGTCTTTTTTATGCTCAAACAGCAACATTACACACTAACTAAAGTTGAAAAAGCAAAATAGGACCCCTTTAAAGAAAGACCTTAGAGAGAGACACCTCCATAGCATCGTTTTGCTCTTTGACTTCTTTGGTTAATGGTTATTTTGAATGCCTGTTAATTAATTAGCCATCACAAGATACAGAGTGCCGCTTCATGGAGGGACACTGTGACATTACTCACAATGAAAATCTTTTTTTCAGCTGTGACCACATCCTCTCCCTTTGAGCTTTCCTGTCTACACAAATTCCAACTGGCGATCAAAACAGAAATGTGTTACTAGGGCTGCACGATTTGAGGAAAAT